AACTTGAAATCCGATTTTTATGAAATTAGATATATCACCATACGACTGCTACTATATCGAAATAGATAATTAAATTTGATTTTGACTACTTAGTTATACTACTGTTTAGCATTTTAACAGTTTTTGGTATTACGTCTTTTAGTTACAGTGTTTCTCCCCCCTCCGCCCCCCCCCCCTATTTATCAATACGACCGGCATATTATCACATTTTACTGATAGACGAAAATATTTGTCACCCCCGAAATTCACAGACCCAACTGAAGAAATACAGAAAAATCATCTGCATTATTTTTAGCTTGTTTTTCTATCTTTCAACCTTATTGCCTTCAAATTTTTTTTAAGACAGGAAATGCATATTCAACTCAAAAAAAATATTGATATCACAGTAAATAAACAACAACAAAAGTTATTTTCCTTTCATGGAAGAATATGAGAAAAGCATCAGTAATAAGTTTCATTCGGTAAGCTTGAAACAGTTTAACAAATTAAAAAATGCCTTTGAACTAGGCAGTTAATTCTTAGCATATGTAAAATGATCATATAATCTCTTTAAAGATAAATATTATAAACATTATAGTGAACTGAATGAATACACGCAGTATTAAATGCTTTTAACTGTCAAATATAGGTAAACATTCAAGTGAAGTAAACATTTTTCATGGTGAATCTTATTCCATTTCCCCCCCCCCCCCCTGAAACTATGAATCATAACTTCTATATTTGTGAACCTTTGTCAAGAAGCACTTTTCTGTGAATGAAGTCACTGTGATATATTTTCAGACAAGCAAACGTGAGCAATACCATGATAAACAGATCCTTGATATGCTTGCTAAACGAAGTAGTATCCTGAGTAGATTTCTAAAAATTAGTGTAAATAAACTAACTTTCACTTTATGGTGAAATAAATAGCTTGCTAATGTTTGACTTCAAGTACAGTAGAAGTCCAGTAAATAATCACTGAATTTATCAAAATCAACGTATTTTGACCATTTTAGTGTGTGGTACAGTCAGTTTTACTAGAGTATAGACAAACTTCGGACCTCTAAAGTTGTGAAGAAGATGGGAATTATATTTGTTTGGTATTCTCCAGGTTTTGAGACCTGTAAACATGGGAACTCCAGACAGCTGGTGAGTCTTGGTATGGGACTTCATAGCAGTGCACACCTATGATCCTACCAGTGATCGAACCAAAGGCCTTCAAATCCCGCATCCAGCACGTTACCACTCAACAACTAGGTCGAACTCAAATGATCTGTACTTCCTGCTACTGTCGGTTCACGATATAGCCTGACCTGCATCTTATACCGTCGTTGAGTAACTTTCTTCATATCGGACAGAAGTAAGAAATGTGAACCGCTGAATTCCGAACCGATTAACGTGTTGGCCGTGGAACCTGAAGGTCCTGGGTCCGATGCGTAGTGGGCGGGTTCATAGGGTCCCATACTGGGACCCAACTGATGCCAGTTCATGTTGAATACCCACCTGAAATCAATTAATAATTCCTCACAAACCTCCCAATTGATATGAGAATTATTCTTAGATGTTTCACCATCAGACTAGTTGATTTTATCGCAACTTACGTCACAAACACTTTATTTATCATACATTTTTTCCTCCAGTAGAAGTGTTCTGAGTTAGAAACTTGTAATCCCCCTTTGTTTCTTTCTCATAGACAGACAATAAATCTTTTCATACATTTGGTATAATTTCAGTGGAACGCCTTCATTAAGTACAGGTCAAAAGAACATACTGTAATTTTACCTAACTTTTCTCGAAAAGGTAATCAGCCTATTATACAAGGTGTATAAGTATAGTTCATTTGTTGACAAGTAATTCAACTCGATTTTCTGGAAACCTTGATAAAGACAACGCTTTATTTGGAAACATATGATTGATTTTGAATATCGTAATATAATAATAATAGGTGACAATGAAAGTTAACTTAAAGTATGGATTTTAACTGGATTTGAACCAATCCACAAATGGATCACTTCCGTTTACCGTGATGATGATAAATTACTCATTAATGTGAAGTAGTATAACTCGAAATGAGCACCGTTTGTTCTTTAATAATCAAAATTTGCATAGAATTTAGAGTTGTGTATAGTAATAACTTGAAAATTAGATCATAAATTGTAAAGTAGTATGTGATAAGCCAGATAGTGCAAGGGTGATTTTTGACATATTAAATCCCATAAAAATTTACTGCGTTAACGAACAAAAAGCATGAATATAACTAAATCGTTTTCGTAAGATTAATAATTCACTACTCTAACTGTCGATCAGCTCAGAATATCGGTGAAGAAATGTATATTTTGAAGCTTAAATGTATAAGCTCTTGACAAATGCCATAGGAGTGACAGACAATTATAAAAGTAAAATAAAACGTTTTTATTTGATTTGTCACAATAAAACCATTTTTGTACGCCAAATCCAAAAACTATCGACCAAGAAGTAATTTAAAAACTGCTTCAACACTACGGAGTACTACTTACCTTTATCAGTCTCATTCAACAGCGGCTATATGAAGACGTCACATGCCGAGTGGTTCACAATAGAAAGCGCTGTGACGTTTTAAAAGGGAAGACAGGAGTAAGACAAGGCTGCCACTTACTATCACAGATCATCTTCCTAATTGTGATCGACTAGAAGGGAGTGGATCACGCAACAAACCATGATGAGTGAGAAGAGGGTCATACGCAGCTGGACAGATGAGAAGACCCTAGGAAATTTGCATTTCGCCAATCATTCATATCTAATGTCTTATGTCTCACAAATTTGAAGTCCTACAGGTAAAAACCAACAAGTTGACAGAAGAGGCAGAGGAGACGGGACTGACTTCAGGTGAATGTAGAGAAGACAGAAGTGATGAAGATACCCAACCAACAACAACACCAACAAACACCAATCACCATGAACGGGAGAAACCCAAAGAAAGTTGTCTCTTTCACCTACCCACTTACCTAGACAGCATCGTTTCAAGTACAGGCGGCACACGTGAGGACGTCAAGTCCAGCCAGGATCGGAAAGACAGCAAGACACGCCCTCCTGCATTGATCTGAAATCAGTGTGAGATCTACTGCACTGCACTTATCATAAAGCGTGAACAAGATGCGGATTTTCAATAATACTTCAGTCAAATCAGTGCTTCTATTGTCATGGTTCAGAAACTTGAGGCGTTACGAAAGGTATTTTCAACAAATTACAGACAAACATCATTAACAGCTGCCACCTGCACCTACTCGATACTGAAGATCAGATGGCTAGAATAGTAAAATAAGCAACAAGGAACTCTGGCCTACCAACGAACCAACAAGGCAAGAAGCTATCCCCCAACAAGTATGTAGAAGAAAGTGGAGACGGATTGGACTAGAAATAAGCTGGGAAAACCATTTGGGGACATCACACGTAAGGGAAGACCAGGTCGTTGAGTGGAAGCCAAATGGGAAACGATGAATTGGGCGTCTGAGCCGAGAGTGATATGGAAGAGTTCGTGTGAAATGAAGGCTTGTGGGTAGTCATGGAGCCAGGTTAAGTAGACTGCTGGGAATAGAATGAAATAGTGAGGGGCTACTGAAGCCCTATATTTCAATAGGAACAAACAATGAGGTTGGACCTTTAATCAGAGGCTTGTCTAGAACATTCTATCATTTTACTTATATATTTACATGTACATCTGTGAAAATGAGTCGTCAGAAAGATATTAATCTTTGGATAACCTAGGTAAAAGAGGTAAATTATCTGAAAAATGTGATGTATTTGTAGTATACTTTTCGAACAATCTGACTACATATTTACTTGTTAAGTTATTATATATGCAAACTGGAAGTCCTTAAGGTATGTTTACCCTGGTCATGTTTATTTTTTCTTATTACCAAGGTTCTCTTCAAATCGTATTTTTTTTCCCTTTTATTTTCTTTCTTATTATTGAATCCATTTACGTCATATTCTTGCTTTCCTTCACTTTCAGTTTGTTCAAATTCATAAAAGGGACTAATTGTTTCAAATAATTGTAATTGTTGTAACCGCTTTTTTTCAGTTCGATAATAATTACCTTCAGAGGTACTTTAACAGCCACCTAAGCACATCCTAATGGTGATCTTAGTACAAATTATTAAGTTTTCCATCTTGTCAAACTATTTATTGGTATATGATCAGAAAGTCACAAAATAACTCAGCCATTAGACAGCTTAATGTTTTTTATTGTCATTCCTTAGCGGAACCGTACATTCACCTTATTTACAGGTGAAAACTTTATGGTAAAAAATTAAGCAGTTACTGAAATATCATTGATTCACAGAGTAATAGTGTAACGGATAGTATTTTGACAACCCCAGCTGACAATCATCACCATCTGATCAGGAAACTTATCATCTGGATATTGATCACCTTATTTTTGTTCACGAGTTATTACTTTTCTGAATAATTTTTTATTTTATTACTATTTATTGACATACTTGTTATTCTCTGTTGTTTTGTTGGATCAAATTGTTCCACCTCTATTGGCCCGTCCTGGATTCTTCTGCTAGTCACAACCAACTAAATTATCATAATTAACATTCAGGTAATATCAAGGCATCCGCATACCAGCCCATATGCCAATAAAGGTAGAACAATTCGATCCAACAAAACAAACAAAGGAGAATAACAAGTATATCAATGAATAGTAATAACTACTACCCGCTGTACTAGAAGTGGCTATCGCTCCTCTGTGGCATAATGGTTAACAACTTGGCGTTTGAAGCGGTGGTTACGAGGTTCGAGTCCCGGTGGGAACAACATCACTGGCTGGGGTGCAGGTATATCCAACTGAAGAGTCCTAAACAGGACGAAATGAGCGTCCTGTATTCTTCTGCTAGCTACAACCAACCAAATTGTCGTAATTTTTATTTCATTAATTCTTAGCATGATATCAGTTTCCGTATACAAACTGTCCAAATAGATTATTTTTCTTCTTTTATTTACACAACTATTTATCCTTTATTGTTTTTGTTTTTCAGTCATAAATCTATCAGAAAATGAAACAACAATTGAATTATTAACTTCAATCACATACAAGGAATCTGTATTTGTGGTCAGCAACATTTAACAATCAGTTGATAGATCAGTATATATATTAGTAGTATAGTATAGAAATGACTGATTATGACTCAGATGATATTAAAAAACAGATTTCTACACTAATAAAAAACCATTTAAACACAGATAATGAAAATAAAGAGATTGAACAAAGAATTAAAGTAGAAGAAGATGAAGATGAAGAAAGAAATAGTAGAGAAAATGAATTAAAAGATATGTGTGAAAATGAAATTCTCAATCTACAAAATCTACAATGCCTAAATTCTTCAGAAGATGAAATCAATCCATTGAATCACAATAACAATAATACTACTACTAATAATAATAATAATAATAGTGGTAGTAATCAATTTATAAAAAAAAATTATAATAATGGTGAAACACCATTATTGCAACATTATAAAAGAATAAAAAATAAAACTGGAAATTCAAAAAATGATATAATTAAAACGAAAACACCACCATTATTATTATCATTATCATCAACACGATTAACATCAGTAAAAGATAACAATTCACCAACATTAATGACACAAATTAAACGTCAATTTCTACAATTCTGTGAAACTACATCACTACGAGGTGTTCCAAGAATTGTCAGTACAAAAGATTCAAAAAGACGTTTTTTATGGTTAATTTTTGTTATTTCATTTTTTATAGGTTGTATTATTTGTTTAACATTTATTATTAATCAATATCTTGAATTTGATGTTATTCATCAACCGAAAAAAATTTATGATCAACCACGTCCATTTCCTTCAGTAACATTATGTAATCTACGTCCTTTTTCTACACGTGATATACGAAAGTTGAAAAAAGCTGGTGTTCTACCAGTTGATATGTATTTTGAATTATTAAAACGATTTATGATCAGTGTACCTATAGAATATCGTCGACATTTAACTATGCTATGGGATTTTTCTACATATTTAGCTAATTTACCAGAATTAGTTGATGCTAATCATTTAGGTCATACATTAGAGGATATTGTAAAACGTTGTTTTATATTATATAAAACAGGTAGTGTTACAAGAGGTACAGCATGTGAAAAATCAGGTTATTGGACTAAGACACAAGATCGTGTCTTTCATAATTGTTATACTTATACAGTTAATCCGAACAGAACTAATACAGCATTGAATATGGAACTTGTTGTCTATTTAGACAATTTAATTGAACAAACTGATTGTTTTGATTGTCAAGTAAGTTATGTATCTTTGTAAAATTATATTTACTGTTTACACATCTTATCATATAGATGAAAATTACAAAAATAACTTTTTTTTAAAGGTTTCACAATATTATTTATCTTAAACTTCAGGTTCTATGTAAAGTGAACAATCCTTTTCGGCTGGAAAATGAACTAAAACACTTGAGACTAAAAGAATAAAGAATTTGAGAGTCTAGGAATAATTATCATATATTATGCTACTAATCATTTTGTTGCTCTGTCCTTAAGAAATCAAAAATACGGTCAATCTTTACTCAGTTCTTGAGTTTTAAAAGTTGAGCAGATAGTCAAGCTTGAAGTTAATATAAGGGTATAACTTGAGCACTGTGCTAGACGTATCACACAATGGAACAGTATTATTTCTCGGACACAATTTATTTTCCTTAGTTACATCAAGATAACTCACAGCAGGGACAGAATTCTAACTGCACATATCATGTCACAAAGTTGTGGAGTTATCTTGATGTGACTGTATGGAATAAACAGCCGTATAAACGCAATCTACTAAGTGGTACTGCTGCTTTGTGTAATATATTGAGTAAATCAACTAAAATGGGAACTTACAACTGATTAATGTAACAGTTCTCTAATTTCAAACCATGCGAGAAAAACAGATTTTAAAATACTAGATGCATCACATTCCCCATGATATGAAACTTATCTCATAATCTTTTTTAAAAACCGGTTGTGCTTCCACCTAAGTTATATACATCACTCTTGAAACGACATTGGTCAAGTAAATATTGCTTCTATTCATGTTAGTGACTAGCAGGTAGCATTCTTTGTCATTTTTGGGACTCGCCAGTTGTATGTACCTACGCTCCAATGAACGATGTTGTTCCCATTGAGACGCGAATCCGGTACCCATCGGTTTAATCCTCAGAGCACTACCCACTTGATCTCTGAAGGATGAGAGCCATCTCTTAAGAATAACGCCTTCGAGTTTGAAGTAATCGGTACTGGGATGGAGTTCCAGTGGAAAAAAACGTCACTCATTTTGGTGTGAGTGCATCCAGCAGACGAATTCAAAATAGGACGAAATGTAATTTCTGGATTCTATTTCTAATCACCATGATGAGTATAACGTAATGAATATTTAGAGATATCGAATCATCTGTGTATGAGCGTATCTACCACCAGAGGTTGACCAATTGAGTCTTGCACAACAATAGGAAAAGACAAGCATCAAACAACAAATATTGCTTGGTCGATAACTGTGGACACATGATAGAATTTCTCTCAGGCGTCTAGTTAAATATACGGTAAGTTTCTGTTATATATAGTTCGCCAACGGTTATACACTCCGAACGAATATTATATGAACGCTAAGCTGACAGCCAACTTGGTACGCAAGAGCTACTGACTGCAACCCCTGGACGAATAGAGAGAAGACCGAAGCTGGGTGATAGGAGAGTTTATTATTCCGAGAATATAATAATGTTTTATACAAAACTGTGGCATCACAACAGTTTCCTACCTATGCATAGCTTGACTCCCAATTTTAACAATTTATTTTGCCCGCATGGTTAACAAAAAACCCAAAATAAATATACCAAAACACTAGACTGTTAACTGACTGCATTCGCCACATAATTACTCATAAAAATTCATGAACAAAACTATTACATATGTCAAGGGTCTGACTAAGACATCATAGCTGTGAACTAGGAATTCGACAATGCGTAGTCAATAAAAAATAACAGGAATCTACAATGTAGGAATCCTTGTTGTTATGAAATCTTTGTTTTATTAGAAGACATTTTTAGATTCTAGCTTCAGTGCATATATTATATATAATTATATGTATCTGGAATATAGGGCACCAGTAGCACGTCTCCAGTGCACTCCGTTCTCTGAAATCTCTCGAACCTGGTTCCATGACAGCCCACAACCTCTCATTTCCTCCTCACACGATCTCCTCCATGTCACTCTCACATCGGAAACCCAACACATCGCTTTCCACCTGGGTTCCACTCGAGCAACTGGTCTGACGCGTGATGTCCCCGAATGGTCTTCTCAGTGCATGCTCAACCCACTTCCACTTCCCTCAGTATATTTGTTGGGTGATAGGTTCTTGGTTGGTTCGTTCCCAGAGCTCCATTTTGCTTATTCTTTCTGGCCATCTGATATTCAGTAGCGAGCCAGAGTAGGTGGCAGTTGTTGATGAATGTCTGTAGTTTGTTGGAAATGCCTTTCGTAACGCGCCAAATCTCTGAACCATATAGCAGCACTGAGTTGACGTTGGTGTTGAAGATCCGGATGTTGTTCACGCTTCATACTGAGTGAAGTAGATCTCCACTCTGGTTTCAGGCTAATGAACGTCTGTCTTGCTTTTCTGATCCTCGTCTGTGCCGCCTGTAACTGAAACAGTGCTGCCTGAATAGGTGAAGGAGGTTACTTCTTTCAAGTTTCTCCCGTTGATGGTGATTGGAGCTTGTTGTTGTTGGTGGTGGTGGTTGGGTATCTTCATCACTTCTGTCTTCTCCACATTCACTTGAAGGATGTTCCGTTTTCGCTGCTTCTTCTGTCAACTTATTAGTTTTTGCCAGTAGGTATTCAAGTTTGTGTGACATAAGACACAAGTCATCGGCGAAATCCAGATCTCCTAGGTTCTAGGCGAGGTTATTTTTTGTGTGTAGCTGTTGTAAATTACTTATGAACAATTATCAGTAGTGATTACACGTCACAAGGGTATTAATTAAGACTGATAAGACCTTGGTAATTTCCAGTGATAAGTTATTTGGGTAATTGGTCTTTAATTAGTTCAGCGTGAAACAAGCGTTTCACTATATACAACTCGTTACGATAGACATTAAGATAATGAACCAAGATATTCTCCACTTAACTAATCGAGCATACAATCGGTTTTTAAAGTCAAAAATGATCTAAAACATTCATACTCAATCTGTTTGGTGATTTTGAATAGCTTTGTGAAATTTTAATATTGAATTTACTAGCTAGTTAGAAGTAATAAAAGAAAATACGGAAAATCTTGAAGTCGTAACTCGGTTTATGACAACATAAGTTTTAAATAACATTTTTTCGTATACAATTTTGAGGTGTAATTAAAAACAAAAGTGATAGTATGCAGTGAAGTAGCCTTAGTAATTAATGTAAGGACTGATTAGATTCACCACATAATCATGCTGTTATGCTCCAATCACCATCAACGGGAGAAACTTAAACGAAGTAGTCTCTTTCATCTATCTAGGCAGCATCGTTTCAACTACAGGCTGCACAGGCACGGACGAAGATGTCAAAACCAGGATAGGAAAAGCGAGACAGACGTTCATTAGCCTGAAACCAGAGTGGAGATCTACTTCACTCAGTATGAAGCGTGAACAACATCCGGATCTTCAACACCAACGTCAACTCAGTGCTGCTATATGGTTCAGAGATTTGGCGCGTTACGAAAGGCATTTCCAACAAACTACAGACATTCATCAACAACTGCCACCTACTCTGGCTCGCTACTGAATATCAGATGGCCAGAAAGAATAAGCAAAATGGAGCTCTGGGAACGAACCAACCAAGAACCTATCACCCAACAAATATACTGAGGGAAGTGGAAGTGGGTTGAGCATGCACTGAGAAGACCATTCGGGGACATCACGCGTCAGACCAGTTGCTCGAGTGGAACCCAGGTGGAAAGCGATGTGTTGGGTTTCCGATGTGAGAGTGACATGGAGGAGATCGTGTGAGGAGGAAATGAGAGGTTGTGGGCTGTCATGGAACCAGGTTCGAGAGATTTCAGAGAACGGAGTGCACTGGAGACGTGCTAGTGAAGCCCCATGTTCCATTAGTAACCCTAGGGACTAATGACAATAATAATATGATATACATAAAAAAAAAACTTTTATCTATTTGAAAACTACTAAGGTCATGGTATTTTAGCACAATTAACTTCTTTGATTAAAATTAGCAAGATAATTGATACTGAAGAGAAAAAATAAGAATTTCATATTTCTTAAACGCTCAGATTTACTTAGTTCGCATTCCCAATTAACAAATCTTTGATAATCAATGAAAAATGGGAATTACACGACTTAGATATGATCCTAGAAAATTCCTTTGTAAACGACATATTAGGCTAGATTGCAGGTCTTGTTTAAGAGTCAGTAAGGTTATATTTTATAGTAGTTTTTGGAATAGTATTATTACTGTAATTGTTTGCTCCTTGGGTTCCTAGTGGAACACAGCGCTTTAGTAGCCCCTCGCCATTCCACTCTGTTCTCTGCAGTCTTTTCAGTCTGGCTCCACCACTACCCACAATCTTTCATTTCATTCTCACACGAACTCTTCCATGGCAACCTCACCTTGAATGCCCAACTCATCGTTTCCCATACGGGTTCCACTCGACAACCTGGCCTGCCCCCACGTGTGATGTCCCTGAATGGTCCTGTCAGTCAATGTTCAATTCAATCCATCTCCACTTCCTTCCACTCTATGTTTGTTGGGCGATAGCTTCTTGCCTTGTTGGTCGGCTCGTTGCCAGCCAGAGTGAGTTCCTTGTTGCTCATTCTTTCTCACCATCTCATCTCGTCTTCAGTATCGAGTAGGCGCAGGCGGCAGCTGTTGGTGATGTTTGTCTGCAGTTTATTGGAAATGCTTTTCGTGACGCACCAAGTTTCTGAACCATGACATAGAAGCACTGACTTGACATTGGTGTTGAAAATTCGGATCTTGTTCACGCTCTATACTGAGTGCAGTATATCTCCATACTGATTTCGGATTGATACAGCAAGGTGTGTCTTGCTGTCTTTCCGACCCTGGCTTTGACGTCCTCATCTGTGCCTGTGCCACCTGTGGTTTAATCGATGCTGCCTAGATCAGCCCATTGCTTCCTTTGTTTCTCCTCTTTGGTAACTAGGCTCCTTTCACAATCTTTCATTGGTTTCGTCCGCGTCGATCTCTTCCCAGATTGTAAACTGGTTATTTGATACAATGTTGTCAGGTCTCTCCTACCAGCAG